TGACTAGTTTGTCATCTCAGCACTTGTCTTTCTCTGATGCTCGTGTCATAGCCATTCCCACCGCATCTCCTTTGTGGTCACCTGAGTTCATCATAGGTGACCTGCTCAGTATCTGTTGATAGGTGGCATGGTTGAAGAAGGAGATGCAAATGGGAACATGTCCTGAGGAAGGTGACCTAAACGATAAAGGATCTAGAAATCATCCCTTGTGAAGAACAGTTGAGGGAGATGGACATGTTTGGCCAAGAGATGAGAAGACTGAGAGGTGATGTGATTTGTTGCTTGGTGTTAGCTGCCATCAAGTTGACCCCTCTTGAAATGAAGGTCTAGTTGCCCTTCATAATCTGGTCTGTGCATTTTGGAGAGATACTGATCACATCCTTATTACTCTCCAGTCTTATCCCTCTTGAAATGAAGATCTGACTAGCCTTCGTAATCCATGCCTTTTGGAGAGATGCAGACCATAATCTTCTCTCGCCCCCCTCCCCAGTCTTTCCCCCAAATGTTACTCCTCTTGAAATAAAGATCTGGCTATCTTTATGAAGCTGCCCTTCACAATCCAGTCTGCGTCTCTTGGAGAGATGCCACTTGGGGCTCCACCTTGTTGCTTGAGAGCCTTGTTTTTGCTTTTCTTCCACATCTTTTCTTGCCTGGGATACAAATCCATGGGAAGGGGAGGGCTGTTTAGGGCGCTCACTTTGGTTCAGTTTTAGCCTATGGGAGTGAACGTAACTTCCTGCCACAGGAAATGGCTCCTGTCGTCGTCCACGTTGCAACCTTCCATGAAGAGCCTGAACCAGGAGGCTGCCAGTCAGCTCTGGGTGTGGGAAAGCATCCCGACTGGCACCAGTTTAATCCCAAATATGGCCCTGGTGAGCCAGCAAGGGTGCTTAAATAGTAGGTAAGGGGAACAGCAGAGCAGGGCGTAGTCAGGCCGCTGCGTTCGCAAAGTGTTGGCAATGTCTTCTTCCTCTGGCTTGGACCATGTTGGCTGATGTTTCTAAAGCCACTGAACTACAGCTCAGTTCTGGTCATTCTAATCCTGACCCAAGAAGGGAAAATGCTGGTCTGGCAGAAGATTATATCATTGAATACCAAGGTGGGAATCATCTGTGCCATCGTATTTCCAGTTTCTATGTATGGATGTGGAAGCTGGGCAGAGAAGAAAGCTGGCGGGGGAAAGAATCAACCTCCTTTGAAACGTGGTGCCGGAAGAGAGTTTACGGATATTTCGGACTGCCAAAGAGACAAATGAAAAGGTCTGAGCACAGATCAAGCCTGAACTTTCCCTAGAAGCCAAAATGACTAAACTGAGACTGTTGTAATTTGGATGCAGAGACAGTTGACTCCTTGGAAAAACGATAATGCTTGTAAAGTGAAAGGTAGTAAGAACAGAGGAAGATTGTACTACAGGTGAATGGACTCAACCAAGGAAGCCATGGCCGCCCTAAGACCTGAGCAAGGCAACTGATGGACAAGGCTCTTGGAGATCTCTCATTCAGAGGGCTCTCTTTAGCCTGGCTGCCTTGGGGAAAAGGCTGGGTGCATGTAACTTTCCCCTAAAATATCTTTTTTTTTTTAGACACATAGGGGGAAACTGTGAGCTAAAAGTGGGCAACTTCAGAGGGCTTGGTGGCTAATTATTTCACCTCCAGGACCTACCCAGAAATGTACAGCAAAAGATGAAAAATAAAAATAGGAAATGGCCAGGGATCCCCTTTTGGTTTGGGTACTTCTTTAAGTTTTAAGGGAGTGGGGGCAGGCTCTGTGGGCCTCTTCTATTACAATACAGACCCCCCACACACACACCTTTGTGGATTCTTTTTGGGAGACCGCCAACAAACCCCAGATTCTGTAGGCTATATTTCAGAGGAAGGAACTGGCAAAAGCTCCTCTGAGGATTCCTTGCCTAAGAAAACCCTATGAAATTTATGGGGTCACTGTAAGTCCTATACATGTAATTTCCTTTACATGCAATTTCCACTTTTTATGTTGTGTACCTTTGCTGTTGATCAATAGTGACCCATAAGTCAACAGGTTACTTGAAGGCACATAGAGACACAGTTCTTCCAAAAATATTCTTTGTCCTGCCCTGCTTTAAACCGTTCTTGGCAGCTGCTTGTGACTCCTTGGATTCTCTCCCTCTGTCCTTTAATTCTCAGCACACTTTAAACTGAGAGAAACCCAATGTAGATACTCACAATTGTGTTGCACATCTTCAGACAAACTCTGTTGGCAGGCTTTTTGCAAAAGGTGTCCCGTGTTGGAGGAGTCATTGTAATCTTACTAGACACAAGAGCTTTTATAGCCTTGGCATTCCAAACAAGGCAGACAAACAAATGACAGAGATTTCCAGCCTGTAATAATCTTTTGGGTAGTTATTTTATATATTGCTTTGCTAATGTTTGTGTGGTGTTGTTGTATTCAAAACAGGCATGACTCTTTTGTCATCTATCGAAGGGGACATTTTGGTGGCCTAAAGAGAAATGGCCTGAAAATCAAACTCAATTTTTTAAAAATTGGGGTCTGGCGCTTTCAGGGACCATACTTAGGGGTCTCAAGAGTTGCAAGTAGTTGCATGTTATGGAGTGTTTCAACATACAGAAAGTTCAGATCCCGCCTCTTCCCCCATGAATAAAGAAAGAGGTTGGATAATGGTGTCCCCAGTGTATATTTTGGATTTTGTTGAATGGTCAAGAGTGTTACCCCTGCTTTTTCTCACCTTCCCCATTGTCTTTTGCCTCCCAAATTCAGATCTTTGGATGGCCGGCTGCAGGTCTCCCACCGGAAAGGTCTTCCGCACGTCATCTATTGCCGGCTGTGGCGGTGGCCGGACCTTCACAGCCATCATGAGCTCCGTGCCATGGAAATGTGCGAATACGCCTTCAACATGAAGAAAGACGAAGTCTGTGTGAATCCATATCACTATCAAAGAGTGGAGACTCCAGGTAGGGCAGGTGCCCTAGATATGTAAGGATGGGGAACGTCTTTTGTCCCTTGGGCCAAACTCAGTTTACCTGGTGGGACACATGCCAGTGGTTGGCGAGACCAAAAGCAAAGGAGGCAGGATCAAAAATACCAGCCATGTTCTATCTTAAAACTCTTAATTGCCAGTCGTTGAGCTTTAGGAGAGGTATTTCAACCTTTTAGAGTTGGGGGAGGCATATAGAAGCTGAGAAACCACCACCCCACATTTTTCACAGAGAAGGGGAATGGGTGGCCCTTTGGAGATGTTACAGGTTCCCCATGCCTTGTCATGAAACCTAAGCATCATAATGTTGAGGAACCCAAAGCTCCAAAGCAAGGAGAGGCATGTTGGTTGTGTGCCCAGTGATAAATATTAATATAGCTGCTGATGTTGCTGTGCCTTCATGCTCTCACCTCCTCAGTGTTACCTCCAGTCTTGGTGCCAAGACACACAGAAATCCCAGCCGAGTTTCCCCCATTGGATGACTACAGCCATTCCATCCCAGAGAACACTAACTTCCCAGCTGGCATCGAACCTCAGAGCAACTACATTCCAGGTACTACACATCGATCCAAGAAGAGTTGGGAGGTGGGAGAGAAGAGCCTTTTCGGTGGCTGCTCCCAGGTTCTCAAACTCCCTTCCTAGGGATGCTAGTCTGGCTCCTTCCTTGCTCTCCCTTCAACAGCAAGAGACCCATTTTATGCCACAAGGTTTTGAGGAACTGCAAATTTCATGACAGATCTCTCTTTGTTCTCTTGCCTCCAGAGACTCCCCCGCCAGGTTACCTGAGTGAGGATGGGGAAAGCAGCGAACATCAGATGAACCATAGCATGGATGCAGGTAAGCGCAAACTGAAGATGGTCTTATGTGGCATCCAAGATGTTGACTTTGCCCTTCTTCTATTCTTCTAGAACCATGAAAAGCCATGATTAGTCCCATCTAGAGTAGACTAGAGGAATCAACGCTTTCATGGCTTGCCTTGATTTTAAGATTCTCCTCTAGCTGGGACTAACAATCTCAGGGAAGAGAGCAATGCAGTCCTCAAATGTTGTTGGACTGCAGCTCCCAACATTCCTCACTACTGGCTTTGCAGGCTAGGGCTGCTGGGACTTGAACTCTGACAAGAACTAAGTCATTCCAGGGATTTAAAAAATAATACAGTAGTCATGTCCAGAGCTTTGGAAAAAAATGCTTTTTTGGACGGTAACTCCTAGAATCAGGCAGCCAGTATAGACCACAATGATTTGGGTAATTCTGTGAGCCATAGTCCAAAAAGATGACTTTCCAGAGCAGATAATAATAATAATAATAATAATAATAATAATAATAATAATAATAATAATAATGCAACTCCTGTTCTCTTGCTGAGCAGCTAGTAGGTGACCATAATTATATTGTTCTTCCCTCTTAGGTTCTCCAAATCTGTCTCCAAATCCGATGTCTCCAGCGCACAATAATTTGGGTAAGGATGGCGCTTGCTCATTTCCCACTCTCTTGAAACGTCTAGGGTGGGTTCAGTGTGATAATTGTCAGCTGGTGTGCAAAGAAGTGTGTGTGAGAGAGACAGAGAGAGAGAGAGAATGAAGTCTTAAAAACTCAGGTAGCTATTCCAGAAACCATGGCTGGCATCACACATACACACACAGCTTGCATCTGCATAGCTCTTCTTTTTTGTTTATCTGTGCTGTTGTGAAAGGGGTGAAATGCTGAGCCTATGGACATTTCTAAATCATCCAGCTCAGATCTTAGGAAAGGGCTGGTTCTCCCCACCCCAACACCAAAATCCAGGATCCCTATCATCCAACATGGGATTCTGGGAGCCGTAATCCAAAAAAGGAACTTTTCCAAGCTCACAGCTGATTCGTTTACAAATTAACTGATCCAGCTTTTGGGAACATAAGCCAATTTGGTTAGAATAACTTGGGGTTTGTGTGCCTTCAAGTGTCTTTCGGGTTTTTCTTTGCATGATTTGTTCTGAGGGGGTTTACCACTGCCTTCCCCTGTGGCTGAGAGTATGTGACATGCCCAAGGTCACCAAGCTGGGAAGTGAACCTTGGTCTTCAGAGTCATAGTCCAACGCTCAAACCACTACACCACGCTGGCTCTCTAGAATAACTTAGGAACAGAGTTTAAAAATGCCATGCACTGGGGAAGACCATTGAGCTCAGTGTTGTGTCTGTAGAGTCTCTGGGGCAGAGCAAAGTCCAGGTTGAGCATGCAGTGCCATTGCACACTGATGTGTCTGGCCATGGATGCATATTATGCCCTGCACATGAGAAAGCATGGAGGTTTCATTGTGCATTCATTTTCACATTTTATGCCTTGGTTTAGTCGTGCTACATTCAACACAATGCTTGCCAAGCACTATTAATGTGTAAGGCAGCATGTGGAGATATTTGCTACACAACTAGAGATATCAAGGTCTGGGGGGAAAATCAGGGGGGGAAATGTGTGTCCCCCCCCCCTGTATTTCCCCCCATAAAATGGATTATGGAATATTTTCTTTTCGAATGAATAAATAAAATGTTTAAGACAAGGTGCTCCCATATTTAGCAGAATCATTTCTAAAAACTATGTAAGAGGAAGGCTTCCATGTAGGGCTGTATATAGTATCAGATCCTTGCAATTCCTGGTCTCGGTTTCTTTTTCTCCACACTTTTTAGGGAATGAGTGTGTTATGTCTGCTTGATGCTGTGAAGAACTAGTGGAGACAAAATAATTTTCTCTTTTTTTAACTGATGTTGGTGCTTTCTTCTGTTTTTATAAGTGATGTTTTGTTTTGTTTTCCAAACCAGCAAAACGAAAGCGATTCCTTATATTTCAGGTATTCCTCACGGTTCTAGCCCTTGTGACAAAACAAAGCAAACAAATTGACATCCTCTGTATATTAAAAAAAAATTGTCATTGCATGTTGAACAAAGTGTACTTTTACTATCTGAGACATGATCATTTCATGCCAAACAAAGTTATATATAATGCGTTTTCTGTTCCTAAATGACAAAATGACTTCCAGTCTGACAGAGTGTAAATATTGCAATTTTCAATTTTTCTGGTGGTTTTTTTTTTTTTATGAAAGGGGAGGAAATGGGGTTTCTCTCCGCCACGGCTGAAGTAATTTTACATCTCTATGTGCAACTCCAACGTAAAATAATACAAGCTGAATCTCCCTTATCCAAAATTCCAAAATACTCCAAAAACCAAAACTTTATTCATGGGTGGTTAAACTAGTGACACCTTTGCTTTCTGATGCTTCACAACACACCAACTTTGTTTCATGCACAAAATTATTAAAAAGATTGTGTATAAAATTACCTGCAGGCTATGTGTTTAAGGTGCATGTGAAACGTAAATGAATTTTGTGTTTAGACTTGGGTTCCATCTCCAAGATATCTTGTTGTGTGTGTGTGTGTATACACACACACACAAATATAAATATAAGTACAGTGGTCCCTTCACATTTGTTGGGGTTAGGGATGAAGGACCCCCATGAATATGATCAACATCTGCCAGAGGTTGATCATAGAGTCACGTTGGAGGACCTACAAATGCCTAGAGAAGTGTTTTCTCTAGGAACTTCTAGGTTCTCCAGCACAACTCTGTGGTCAACTTCCGGCAGAGTTGCGCTGGAGGACTACAGATTCCTAGAGAGAATATATTAATCAAAACTGCAAATAATCAAGTCTGCAAATGTGGAGGGACAACTGTATTCCAAAATCAGGAGGGGGAAAAAAAACCCTGAAATCCAAAAGGTTTCCAATCCCAAGCTTTTCAGATAAGGGAGACTCCATCTGTATAGTCACAAGCATAAAATATAGCAGCAAAACAGAGCCAGTGAGTCTTGTAAATGGGTCTCACCATCGTTTCTCTCTCTGCTCTCCATCCCTATAGATCTCCAGCCCGTCACTTACTGTGAACCAGCCTTCTGGTGCTCCATATCGTACTATGAGCTCAACCAGAGAGTCGGGGAGACCTTCCATGCTTCCCAGCCTTCAATGACCGTGGATGGCTTCACAGACCCTTCCAATTCAGAACGCTTCTGCCTGGGTTTGCTGTCCAACGTAAACCGCAACGCAGCTGTAGAGCTCACCCGGCGACACATCGGTAGCATCCGTTAGCATCTCTTGACTTATGGGAGGGAGGAAGGGAGGGAGGTCCGGATGTGTGATCAGCTCCCAGGACAGTTCCTTTTTCGAACTATATCCTGGCTGGGGAATTATTATAGCCCCAAAAGGTAACTTTTTACAAACTTTGGCTCCCATCTATCCATCACCGCAGGGTAAAAGGTGTCTTTTAGAGCAGTGGAATTCAAAGATATAGCCATGTTAGTCGGTAGAATCAGTACTCAGATAGATCTTGTAGCACCTTTGAGATTAACTGAAAGAAAGAAGTTGGCAGCAGGAGCTTTCCTAGACTTTAGTCTACTTCCTCAGGTGCATTTGGATATAATAATAATAATAATAATAAATGTAGAGAGAACTTGTAGCACCTTTGAGACTAACTGAAAGAAAGAAACTGGCAGCATGAGCTTTCATAGACTTCAGTCTACTTCCTCAAATGCATTTGGATATAATAATAATGATAATGATAATAATAATGATAATAATAATAATAATGTAGAGAGATCCTGTAGCACCTTTGAGACTAACTGAAAGAAAGGAGTTTGCAGCAGGAGCTTTCATAGACTTCAGTCTACTTCCTCAGATGCACCAAATGCATCTTAGGAAATAGATTCATCTACGAAAGCTCATGCTGCCAACTTCTTTCTTTCAGTTAGTTTTAGGGCAGTGGTTCTCTAACGTTAACTTCTCCCTAATCTAATGTAACTTGAATTACACTGGAGATGCTCTGGCTTTGTTACCTGCATTGCTGCAACTTGGACTCGATTTGGGGTCCCTTCCAACCCCGTGATTTTATTTTTGACCTATTTTGGGAGGCCTCTGCACGTACAGAGGTCCTATACATGTGTCGCTTCCCACATCTGCTGGCTTGATCTGATGCTTTTGTCCTCTCTTTTCCCAGGGAGAGGTGTGAGGCTATACTACATCGGAGGGGAGGTGTTTGCCGAGTGCCTTAGCGACAGTGCCATCTTCGTCCAGTCCCCCAACTGCAACCAGCGCTATGGCTGGCACCCAGCCACTGTTTGCAAGATCCCACCAGGTAACTTACCTTGCTTCCCTCCTCCTTGTTGCTGCACACCTGTTGGTCCTTCTTCCCTCCTGGGGAGGAACTCAGTGGGAATCATTGGGCTCTTCCACACTGCACAATTACAGCACTTTCATCCCACTTCAGCGATCTTGGCTGCATCCTATGGAATCCTGGGATATATAGTTTGGTGGAGGCACTAGGGTTCTCCGGCTGAGAATGCTAAGTACCTGGTGAAACCACAACCCTAAGAACCCGGAGTTTCTTGAAGTTATTTAATTCATGTGATCTCAAGGAGGTCTATGAGCAAAATTGATTAAAGCCATTTAAAACAACTTAGAGCAATAGAAAATAATTTAAATAATTCAAAGGCATTTTAAACAAGAAGCTTAAAAGGGTCAAAACCATGTACATGTTTTTTTTTTTTTTTGGAATAAATCAGTCTCCAAAGACATTAATAAAAGGCCATACTAAATATAATATAATAAAAGACTCATCTCCCCCCATTCCAGGGATGGAAAGTGGAACCCAACGTGGCCAAAGCATTGTTCCCTTTGGGGTGGAAAGGACAGCAGAGGTGTGTGTTTGTGTCTGCATGTGATCACACATTGACAGTGGCCCTGGTGTGGGCTTCTGTTTATTTACAGGCTGTAACTTGAAGATCTTCAACAACCAGGAATTTGCAGCTCTTCTGGCCCAGTCTGTGAATCAGGGCTTCGAGGCAGTCTACCAGCTGACCAGAATGTGCACCATCCGGATGAGCTTTGTCAAGGGCTGGGGAGCAGAATACAGGTCAGAGACAGACAGGGGGCTGTTGGGGAGGAGAAGAGGAATGGGCTCCCTCCCTCCATCACCTTCCAACCTTCCACCCTGTCCATCTCTTTTCCAACTCCTTCCTTCTTTCCCTTCCCTTCTTCCACTCTGTTTTCCTCCCACCCTCCCTCCCTCCCTCTCTGTTTTCTTTCTTTCCTTCCTTCCA